GAGAGAGAGAGAGAGAGAGAGAGAGAGAGAGAGAGAGAGAGAGAGAGAGAGAGAGAGAATTTCCCATCGATAGGATGAGAAACGCACTGGCGAACAGGTAAGTCTCCAAACCCGCGGCTGGCCGCACGCCACTTCCATCGATAGGATGAGCTAAATCGAACGAGTCCACCGAGAGAACATGGAAATATACACTCCCGCACTTGTGTGTGTGTTGTCATATTCGCTACACACACACACACACACACGAAACAAAACAAAACAAAACAAAACAAACAAACAAAAAAAAAACAAAAAACAAAAAAAAAAACCCTTAAGAAAAGGAGAAAAAAGTGGCAGTGTATATTTCCGTAATATAGCAAAAGATTCATTCCGATTTTGCTTATCCTATGGATGGAAGTAGCCCCTCTCTATCTCTGTGCAGCTGGAAAGCAGTGTGTAGTCCTTCAGGGCATCCGTGAAAATTGGAACAATACAGAGAGAGAAGATTAGCATGGCCCCTGCACAAAAAAAAAAAAAAAAAAAGAGAAATGGTCTAAATTAAGGGAAAAAAAAAAAGCAGTGTATATGTCCATTTCAACTGGAAGATTCTTTCCTATTTTGCTCATCCTATGGATGGAAGTAGCCTCTCCCTATCTCTCTGCGTGCATGGCTGGAAAACTCTCACTCTCTCTCTCTCTCTCTCTCTCTCTCTCTCTCTCTCTCTCTCTCTCTCTCTCTCTCTCTCTCGCTCGCTCGCTCGCTCGCTCGCACACACACACACACACACACATACACAGGCAGACACACACACCGAGGGGGCAAAACACAAAGATCACCTTGGCCACTAGGGGCAAAACGAAAATACATAGGGCCTGGGAAAAGTTGGCAACTATCAGGACATTTTGCAAACATGGACAGTACCCGGTAGGGGTATTTTGCAAAGATGACAGGTCCAACCGAAGCCAGTGGCGTTTCACAAAACCTTTTTTGTGTGAGAGGGGTATTCCGCTCTACCCACATCTTGTAGGGGCATTTTGGCATATATCCCAACTTTTAGGGGTATTTTGCAAATTATCCCATTAAAAAAAAAGATTCCAGACTATGTTAACTATGACAGCAATGCTCCCCCCCCGTATTCGGGGAGGATCATCAGGCAGATGTGGGAATGTGTTTAATCCGTTGAGAGTTTTTTTTTTTTTTTTTAACCACTAATACCTCCGAGCCTGTTTTTTCCGACCCTGAATTTCACTGCGAGTTTGCCGAGCCTGGGTACCACTCCATTTTCTTTCTGGTACTGTCATGGAAAGAACAAAAAAAAAAAGAGAAGAAGAAGAAGAGTTGCGGCCGTGAAACTCAGAAAAGAGGAAGGAAAAAAAAAATGAAACTAAGCTTTGGCCGTGATTGCAGTTGTATACATTCTTGGAAGTGGTAGTGCGAGTGTGCCCTCCGTGAGGGCATCTCATCCCCGTGGTCAGGTTGTCAGATTCGAAAAAGAGAATAGAAGGAAGTAAAAACGGGCACACGGATCCGGCCCTCACAATTCAACCCGGAGTTATCCCGGCAGCATCAGCCGGTTTAGCTTAGTCTAAACTAGCAAAATAAAATGAATTTGAAAACTGAATAAAGTCGGACACACTATCCACTACCAACCAAATCTACTACTATAGACCCTAGGAGCAGAGTGATCCCCTCATCTCTCACTGTCTGAAACACTGTGAAGAGCCTGAGCTGCCAACACGGGTTTCTCACCACGCAGCCAATGGATACACCTCAAGTCCGCTTTTCACCGGTTCTCTCTTTCCTCCCGGCCAGTAGCGTTCCCACTGCCCCTCACCACACTCCCACTGTTCAAGGTGGCACCACTACTAGTAGTTCCGTGGACTTCACTCTGAGCTACGCTAAATCACTTCCCTCTTCTGTTGGTGAATTTGGGCAAGAGCCTTCGCAGAACATCTGCAGACCTATCAACTACATTCCTCACCCACAATGGTTCCCTCAATTCTATCCGGGCAAGCTTCTCATCTTTACTGCCCAAAGCACTGTAAAGAGCCTGAGCTGCCGAGATTGGTTTCCTACCACACACGCAATGGATACACCTCAAGTTTGCTCTTCACCAGTTCTCCCTTTCCTCCCTACCAGCAGCATTCCCACTGCCTCTTGACCCACTCTCACTGCTCAAGGTGGCACCGCTACTAGTGGCTCTGTGACTTTCTCCCTGGATGACTCTTAAGTTACTTCCCTCTTCTATTTGTGAACTAAAATACTGCGATCTTCTCAAAGCAACTGAGGCATATCAACTAAATTTCTCATCCATCACGATTCCCTCAGCTCTATCAGGGCAACCTTTTCATCCGCACCGTCCACAACATTGTAAAGAGCCTGAGCTGCCAAGACAGGTTTCCTACCACACCCCCAATGGATACACCTCAAGTTTGCTCGTCATCGGTTCTCTCTTTCCTCCCTACCAGTAGCGTTCCCACTGGCCCTTGTCCCATTCTCACTGCTCAAGGTGGCACCGCTGCTGGTGGCTCGATAAGTTTCACCCTGAACCACTCAAGAATTGCTTCCTCTCTCACCTTTAGGCTGCTGCAGCCACGTTAATCAATCGTGAGATCTGCCAACACTTATTTAACCAGCGTACTGCATGATCATACTACTATGACCCATTACTGTGTCCATTACATTGCGTGTTTCTAAGTACAAAACACTATAGGCAATATATGTATCAACGCCAGGGGAGAATTTTACTGCCCAGGAGATTCAAGCGACAGCAACCTCAATCGTTACCCTAAAATACGACAGAGAAAACAGGGTTTCTATCAGCGTAAGAAAACCATGCAGCCCGTGAATCTAACAAACTATGTCCAGCAGATGCATGATGCCAAGTGATCTAAATGCCCATTAGCAATGGATATGGCCAGATACTACGCATAAGAATGGGAAACCCAATGAAGGCATCTGTCTACCAGCACCAAAAGCAGAGCCTCAAAGCTCCAGATCTTCCACGAGATCCCATGCCTAGATTGGCGCTCCTGTTCTGAAATCTTCCGGCACGCTCCGACCATTGCTGCAGGCTCCCGAAATTGGCGCTCCTGTTTCTGAAATCTTAAATCTTCCGGCGTGCTCCCACCATTGCTGCAGGCTCCCGAGATTGGCGCTCCTGTTCTGAAATCTTCGGGGGCGCTCCCACCATTGCTGAAGGCTCTCTCACTGCCCGATCATTTTTCCAATACTTGCACTTGTACCTCTTCGTCCTCCGCTCCAAGCGGTTATCTATGGGCATGAGTAGTCAACATGATGCGGCAACAACCGATGTAATTAGGGTTTGAAGAGAAAACCGTTCGGTAATTTTCCAAGGATAGAAACTTAGTGAAGTGAGAGGTGGGACAAAGGAGGAAGTGGCCTGGGGCCCCTATCCTTGAGAGCAAAGGCACTCGGTCTCCACTCAAGGAGAGGTTCCCATATGAGCAACCGAAGACATAGTCGAGACGCCAGTCTTTCCATAAGGCGTGGCCACAGGACTTCGACTGGCGTTCTTTCCCGCCATGTACTTTCCCTCCAAGCGTAGGCCGGCCATGGAGGGCCGGCCGTGGAGGGCTACCGTCTTCCCCCAACATAACGCACCCTAAAAATGAATGTATCCAACCTATATTTCCGCCCAGATACAGTCAAATTAAGGGTGCGTTGTGTTCGGGGAAGGCGGTAGGACTGCGCTAATTCGAGAACGAACTAAAGCGGCGCTACCGAACGCTTGACGCTCCACGTTGAGTGTTTCACTTCCACTACCGTCTTCCCCCTCTGGCCGGAAATATCGCTTGTATACATTCATTTTTAGCGCACGTTATGTTCGGGGGAAGACGGTAGGCCCTCAAAATGGCGGAATCACAAAATGAGCGGCCAGATCGAGTGCTCCTCGAGTGCTCCTTTGACAGGGACTCAATCTGGCCGCTGATTTTGAGGGCCTTGTGTGAGTATTTATGGGCCTCGCCACACCACTCTCGACATGTGATAAAGACAAAAATGTGTCGGATGCATCCGGCCATGTTCTAGCGGGAAGTTCATTCTCAATTTCCACATTTCCAGAGTCGTGTGGCGATGCCCTCTGCCTTTGCAAGTCCTCGCGCACAGCGAGGGCAAACGCGTCGACGAATGTGTGCGGTTTTTTTTTTTTTTTTTTTTTTTTTTTTTTTTTTTTTTTCAAAGGGCGACGGCCTTGAGATATTATCATTGAGCTGACCGGCCCCAAGCAATTCATTAGTAGTTGGTTTTACTCGTCAAGTTCCATCAGCGCGATTTTTTTTTTTTTGTTGAATGTGTGCGTTTTGAACTTCAATTATATCCAACAAGCGGATGTAAAAGACGAGATAATTGGATGTAAGACGGACATTGGGCCTCGCTGCGCTACTCTCCAAATGTGCAAGATGAGACTGAATCTACTCCTAGAACATGGAAATGTACATTGCCGTCGTTTTTTATTTTTCTGCATCTAGACAGTTGTCCAGCGACGCCCATTGTTTCACTGCTTTCATGATTGGCCTCGCTATTCTCAATTCTGTTCTCAACCTCCATCTCCTCCTCCTCCCTCCTCCTCCTCCTCCTCCTCCTCCTCCTCCTCCTCCCCCCGTTCTTCTTAGTGCGTACTCACACTAGCACTATCTTAAACGTATCGGACGGCAATTATTGCGGCCGGACCTGGATGTATCTGACGGCAATTACGTCCACAAGTAAGTAAAAAAGTCCTACCATTGTCAGTATGCCCTTACTCTCTCTTCTTCTTCCGCATCGTCTTTCATCTCCTCGTCCTCCTCCTCCTCCTATATTCTCCATTCGCTTCTTCATCCTTTTCCGCGAGACGAAGTCACAGTGACTTTCGAGTTCTTCTGATCTACCGTCGAGTCTTTCTTTGAACTGAACGAGAGTTCTTGTGACACGACGCGGTATTGAAAAAAAAAAACAGAAAAAACGCTCTTGTCACGGCGGTATGAGGTCCTCTTTTCTTCTTCTTCCTCTTCTTCCCCTCCTCCTCCTCCTCCTCCTCCTCCTCCTCCGCCTCCTCCAGGATGTTCGTTTTCTCTTCTTTACGGCCTCCCAGTACGACGCTGCTGCAACAGCAGAGCTTCAGTGGTGAAGTCTTACTTACCCCTACTTGATAAAAAAAAAAGATAGAAGTACCGGTACGGTAAGAAGGTCGTGCTTTGGGTGCCTGCGCGCTACCTTAGCGACAGAGGAGAATAAAGAAGGGGAGGGGGATGNCGACATATCTGATCGGCACATCCACCTCACTCATTTTGCTTATTCACCTCTTGCATCCGCTTGGCCGTAGTGTTCTCGTTAGCAAGAGGAAAGAGAGTTCATCAATCTTTTGACGTCGCCACATGTCACACTGCATATTCCAAAGCCACACTTTTTGCCTGCTTGAGGAGCTAATCTTGGGCTAGGATAAAAAGGTGTGTGTGTGAGTGGGTCGGCGGGTGGCTAAGTGTGGCTTGGAATATGTGACATGTGGGGACGTTAATCTTTTTGCCATCTCGTTTCTCTCTCCCAATCTCCCCCTTTCCCTTCCCGCGCGCTATGTCACAAGTATACACTCTAGCTTCCTCCCCCCCGCCCCCTTTGCTCTCTCTGGATGCATATGTATAGCGTATGTACTTATCCAGAAAAACGGCAATCCATCTCATCGGTCAGCGATATCCATACTCTCATGTTAGGTCTGTACAAATGTAGATGGTTAAAAAACTGGTAAGTAGCTCCAAATTCTTAGTAGCTTTCTAGCCTTATTTTCATGGAATTTTCTGATGACTTTTCTGAACGTGCTGTTTATGGGACGCTGGGCCTGGTTCCCAGTTTGTGCCTATCTGTGAGGATATGGTTGTATTTGTGGGACGCTGGACCCGGTTTCCAGCAGGTGTTGCTCCCCACCAATAGATGGAGCTTGTGTTTAAAAAAAAAAAAAAAAAAGATGCCCTCCCAAAATAATAAACATGTTAGGTTTTGTTTATTAAAAAAAAAAAAAAAAAAAAACTGGAAAGGCAAGCTCGCAGTTTTGCTGTCTTTCTCACATTTGGCGAGCGGTGGAGCTATGGGCAAAAATTCACTTCTTGGAAAGAAGATGAGAAGGAGGAGGGAAAAAAAAAAGAAAAAAAGATGACGAAGCACTACAAAAAAAAGAGCTGATGACCAACAGGATCAAGCAAAACCTTCAAGTTCGAAGTTTGATCTTGATTGCTGAAGCTCAAGCTGGATCTGGACCGTCCGTCTCGTTCCGTACATGCATCTGAGAGCTGCTCTGAAGATGAAGCTATAGATTTTCCCTCAGCTCAGCTCTGCTCTCTCCAGCTAGACGTGGACACGAAGATGGAGGCGGCGGAGATGAAGGTGGCGGAGATGGAGGCGGCGGAGATGGAGGCGGCGGAGATGGAGGAGGCGGAGATGGAGGCGACGGAGATGGAAGCTGAAGCTGGATCTGGAGACGACGAAGATGGAGGCAGAGATGGAGTCGGAGGTGGAAGCTGAAGCTGGAGCTGCAGATGGGAGTCAAGGAAAATGCCGTACGCTCAGCTCTCCTCTCCCAGGTTGATTTTCCCCTCAGCTCTCCTCTCCCAGGTAGATTTTCCCTCACCTCTTTCCAGTCCAGCTAGGTTTTCCCTCAGCCGCTGACGACGGTCGGTGCAGGTCGTGTTGCTGGAGAGAGCCTTTCGGTGCTCCTCACAGTAGACAGGCCCTCCGGTCATTCGCAGCATCCGGGCCTTAAGTGATCTGCCGGCTGTGTCAATGACCCCAGCAAAGGCCTTAAGTGATCTGGAAGAGCGAGCTCTACAAAAGATCTATTAGGTACGGAACAAGCACAAGATGGTGAACGATAGCGGCACTGCACTACGACCTTCCGGGCCTATCGACACATTTTGCTTGGCAAACCCTTCGGGCCTATCGATACATTGCTTGGCAAACCCTTCGGGCCTCTCGCGACATTGCTTGTTGGCAAACGGCAAACCCTTCGGGCCTATCGCGACATTGCTTGGTGGCAAAGGGTGTGGAAATGAAGGGTGCATCTTTCCAGTTTGAACGCAAAGATGCCGTACCCTCGCCAGCAGGTGCTGCTGCCCACGAATAGATCGGAGACAAGTGTAATTAAACAAAAAAAAAACAAAAAAAAAAGAAGAAGTAGAAGAAATGAAATGAAATGAAATGAAACAGCGAGGCCAATCACTATGCGTCCATGTCTCAATGATGAACACTGAAGGACCTACACGGACAGTCAGCTCAACGCGCACATTGCCCGACGCGAAGGCGAAGAAGGAGAAGAAGAGTCCGGACCGTCGACATTTTTCCTCTCACATCGGCAGACTGTCGGGGTCTGGGAACGTGCAGCAAGACCGTGTACCAATTACCGATCTTGAACTCATTCAGGGACGGAGCGTGCTACAGTACCTCGGCGAAAGGTTTTCAGTAACGGATGGGCCAATGAAAGGGTTTCGCTGTTCATTTTGATGTACCCGCCCAACTCTGGATTCTCGTGCTACAGATCGTGCGTGGGGGTGAGTTTGGTGTATGCCACAGCAGATACAGTTGCTGCATGTACCTTTTCATTCTCATTCTCATTTTCTCTCTCTCTCTCTCTCTCTCTCTCTCTCTCTCTCTCTCTCTCTCTCTCTCTCTCT